TTGAAATCCATGAGGTGCGCTGCTGAAAACTTCATCCGTTGACTGCATAAAGCCTTCCTTGATTTGATCTACTTGATACGGGCGACTTCTCGATCATTTGTGGAGTACTTTTACCTGGATCTCTTTACTGCCTCCTTATTCCACTCTTTGTTACACATTCCTCTTGGTTAGCTGGATATTGTTTCTTAGGTTTTCGATGTTAATCAAATTGGGTCATCCCCACCTGACTTTGGCCATTTTATCTTCAGCATCGCCTATTCAAGTCTAGGTGACTATGGTAAAGCTGCAGAAGCCTATCGCAAAGCCCTTGAATTGGATCCGACGAACGAGAACTGCCAACAGAATCTGGCTCTAGCAGAAGAACGTCTCAGGGAATCCGGCATCGGCAGTGCGGCTGGTGGCGGTCTTGACATTGGTGCAATTCTAAATAACCCGATGATGCAGAATATTGCATGCCAGTTGATGCGGGATCCCAACACACAGAATGCGTAAGTCACGTTTAGTAGTTACTATTGTTACAACCTCCTTACTTGCGAACAACATGAAAATAGTATAAAGGAGAGATTCAGTTGAGTCTCTCGCGAAAACCAGATTGATTTGCAAATGAGTGTATTTCTCGAAAACATGACGAACTGTTTTTTCCGAGGAGTTTGAGTGTGACGATACTCAGTTGGAATATATATGCAGCCTTGCTCCCAACAGAATTATCGGACACTTTATGCTGTACATTTTCAAATAACCGCGCCTTTCATTCACCCGTGCATGTGTTCCAAATGTCAGTGAACGTAACTTTCATGTTGTTAGAGCCACATCTGTTTAATGCACATCAGGATCCTTAATTATACTAGACCGTGTTCATCTCTCAGGTTTGGCATTTGTCATCAATTGAGGCCTCTGACAATGTGCACGAGGATTCTATCTGTTTGTAGTGAAAGAGAATATTGGTAGTTCAGGCTGTAATGATGGCCGTTGAGTTGGGCAGTTTGGTTGCAAACAATTCATCACTAGTCAAGGGGACATTATCAGTGTGTTGTAAGCGGAAGTTCATTGAAGTTGGAAGTTAGAATGCATATATGCACACCACCACTGACATATTCTCGTGCTTTATCTACTCATCTATCGCCTTTCTTTGATTTACAGTATGGCCGATTTGTTCCGGAGCACATTTGGCGCTGCCTCGGGCGGCGGTGGTGGTGGGGCTGTTCCAACCACCGCCAGTACAAATGCGGTGAACTCCACATCGGATACCGACACTGCTCAGAACGGTCCCAGTGGCGGACCGCCAAATGTGGATCAGTTTCTCAGGCTGTAAGTGTTTGAATTGCGTATCCCTCTTGTTTCGCGTGTGCATACGTGCGTTTTCTCCGATTGACTGCTCTCTTCGTAGTACGTCAGTGTCGTGAGGAAAAGATCATTGGATTAGAAGCGAGAACGTTGGTTGTAAAACTGAACAGCAGTAGTATTGTTGGAAGGAACTTCGCTCCAAGGGACACCATTGGAAATGAAGGAGAGCTTCCCAATTGCTGAGTGTTCCTTCCTCAGGGGAAGATGTTTAAAATGTATCCAAACAGCCACTAAGACTCACATCCATCCCGAGCCTACGTCATTTGATAAGGAACGAGGATGTAATTATTGATTTTCGTAGCCATAAAACACAGACATTTATTTCTGTGGATTTTTTAAAGTCGGTTTTAATATCGATTTTGTTATTGCTTGATGTTTAGCAGCAATCCTGTTAGAATGTATACTGTGGTAACCTGTTTTTTTTTCAAAACTTATCAGAAAGACCGCTTCAGCTTTACACGACACTAAAATTATCGACATTATCATTATTGTCATAATCATCACCAAAGATGGTATCATCAGTATTGACGCGGACGCTTCACTACAGTACAACCACAAAGTTTAGTTATTTGTATTTAAAGTTTTAATGCAGTAAACTGGATACAGAAGGGAGCTGATAGTAGCTTACATAAAACATTCTGAGGTACCAAGTGTTCACTCAGAAAATTTCAAAATAGACTGACAGCACGAAAGTTACTAACATCGATTACCCTCAATTTCTGACAATGTCTCGAGCCGAACACACGGAGGGTCACGAGGACCCCGTCGTGAAAGACGAACTGCACCAACAGCACCTGAGCTCTTCATAATCTTTTTCACACATTTTTGCCAAGTAACAAGTTGCCCACCTGGCAGTTTGGACCATTCTCAAGGGGGCACGGATGACAACACTCGTTTCGATACACGAAACCTCGGGATGTGTGGCACACGGCAGAGCCAACTGAAGTGTCTGCTGCACAATCAGATTGCCTTGTTGCAGATTTGTGAATGCCATACGCTATCAGAATCTCTTCTTGGGAATGGGTGTTCAAAAATCTGAAGACACCTGGTCATCTATCCGCAGAAGACCCAGCGACATACCCCTTTGGCTCCAAAAATGAGGTAAATTAGGAAACGTGATTCGAGACTTTGTTATTCGTCCACTGACTTCAGTAAGTACGCTTCCGTCGGAGCTGTAAAACTCTCCACAATCTCCAGTGCTTCCTGAATTTCAAGGGGCATATTCAACCGCTGCACGTTCTCAAGCACAGCTTTGTACTTTGCAAGTGCACGGCGCATTCGAAAGATCGAATGGTGGTGGTTAGTTTACTCAAAAGTGCTTGTGCTTGGTCCTCATGTATTTTGCGTACTATAAATCCACAAGGTTCTCACCGGCAATGATTAGAACGCAGGAGTTTGGAATACTGTCCAGCGTTCGAATCTAAAAAAAGGACAGTGGATTTCCTTCTCGGCAGTGAAGCTGTTGCTGTGTTGTGTTGCTATTACTAATGCCGATGATGATGTGTAGTGAAGCTTCTGAAGAGACCACCATACACCCATCCGAGTGAAATAGTGAGAAAGCTTACCGTTTCACTGACACCTTGTTGGGTCAACTATGCCATCCTTATTTGGAAATCGCAACTCTTTTACTTATGAGTTCCGGAGACAGACCAAGTGACAACTTCCATTTCGGTAAAAAATATCTTCCAGGTATAGGAGCAATGTCCCTTATCGGAGGATATTCTGGTCCACGGAATGGTCTTTACTCTAAGCCCATGTGGAATCGGGAATTACCCTCAAGTGTGTATTTTTCTTTCGCGAGGGTTACTGTATTTCTAACCCCGAATGTCCGCTATTCTGAGTGCTGCAGTTGGGAAGTGTCAATTTTGAACAGTTTAACATTGTCCCCTCATTTTCCTTTTGCGTTCTACCCACCGACGTCGTACCGCTTCCATATGGACGTAGCTCGTTGATTCGCATTGGTATTAGTGTCGAGCAGGAGGTGTTGTCCGTGTACATCACTTTTACACCAATGTCATTAAAGGTGTGAGATTGTTTGTCTCCCGTACTCAGTTAGTAATGAATAGCGTGTTATCAACACCATCTTGAGTGATCATGGCAGCCACTTGCTCTAAGCAAATGGCTGTATGTAATCGCCCCCTCGGTCAGCGTGAGTTCATACATCTACCTGATGCATATACTAGTGGATCATCCAGGTAAGTCTGCATAATGATCGCCGATTTTTCAGTTACTAGGGTCAAGTATCAAATGAAACCTCAAAATATGATTGTATACTTGCGTCGTAACAAGCAGGGTTCACCACCCGAACCACATCGCATTCAATTGGTGCTATACCTAGTTAGTGTTCTAGACCGCCACCATTCTAGCGATCTAGGCTCTTAATGAAGGACAAATGAACAAGATGACCGGATTACTCTTCCTGAACGGAGCAATACGCGGTGGATATCGGATCGCTAGAGATGGATTCATATTACGGAGCTTTCAGTCACGCGGTCGATCCACACTGTTCACGCTTTCTTGAGTTTTGTGATAACATAAGTAGTAACTAAATGTTGGCAAAATCTTAATGCAATCTGACGTCCACTTTCCGATAACTTTTTCTTCACTCTATTCTTCTCTTTTGACAATTCTCGCAGAGGTCAGCAGTTGGCCCAACAGCTTCGTGCTGCCAATCCACAGTTAGTGGATCAATTGCGCCAGACGTTTCAAAATACGTCTTCCGATCCTGCCACCGGACCCACACAGTGAACTTCGTAAATACTGATCGCTTTATCTCTTCAGTCCCGGTGTTCTTGCTGTCTCTTCTAGTTGCTTTACTCCCACACTCCAGAAGTATTTCTGGTGTTGAGTGCACGATCATTTGGAGCATGTGGGTGACGTTTCTGATCTTGCATTATTGGCATATTCACAGCTGTTCAACCGTGAAATGATCATTTTAAATTCCATTGTCAAAGCTGAGGTCGGTAGTATGTAAACTACATGGAGCTCGTATTGTTGTGGTGCTATACTGACACTCACTAACGGCATTCATACCTATTGGAGCCTATGGTCTTAGACAAAGAAACTATTGCTGTCCCTTCTATGCAGTGTACCCTAGCTGCTGGCACCTACGCCATCGTTCCGGTGCTCTGCATACGTCAAGTGTCGACTGGAAAAACATTTACTGCACCGTAGTGCTTTGACCCGGCGAACCGGCACAACCTGTGAATGTATGGATATCCCAACGTATTTACGTACGACATCGGGGTGGACATACCAATAGTTAGTGTCGCTGTTAGATGTGATCAAACCATAAAGCCCGTGGCGTGAATGCGATAAAGCTATCACCTTCAATATGTAGCTTTCCAGACTCTCCTTCAAAAATACCCATGTTTAGGGCTGACAATTATGGCGTATGACACGGCGAGGGGAAACAGACATGCCCAGTCACTGGGTACCAAACTTGCCGTCAAATACACTTCACCTTGCTTCAACTACGACCCCAGCATATGTTACTACAGAAGACTATCCTTTCCAAGATCATTCGAACTATCTTCCCTGTTCCAGCCTATAGTAATACGCCGTCCAAATATTGTATGATTCCGTGAAATTGCATTAGGTTGTCTCGGATTTGAAACCATAGTCACTTCTATACATAAAAATTGTGTTGTAACCTGTCTGGTACGTGATTCTTCTAGCTTCTGTACTATCTTGCTCAAGATAGATTTTACCAATAGTTGCTCAGCATAGGATAACAATACACCAGGAATGGTTATCCGTGCCTAACTGCCATACAGCCTTGGAGAAGGAAGTAAAGAGTGAAAGGGAAGGGGGAAATGTGGGGACTTATTGTGGAAAACTCCGCGTCCCAATTGAAACCGTCCAGGAGCGAGGTGACTCCATCTAAAACCATTTGAACATCGTTTTGGACTAAGACATCGTAAGTGAGGTTGAATCAACGTCCTTTACGAACCTCACTCAATATAAGCCAAGCACTCAACGACAGGTAAGCGTTAGCTAGGCGGTCCAGCTGAGAGGTAACAACAAGTTCGCTACTGGGATCGGTGGGGCTAGATGGTTCAGTGTTAGAGCGCAACCGAAAGGTCCCTGATTCGAAACCGACCTCTGCCTCCCGTCTTCCCCTGTCTAGGCTTCGGCAACTTGGGAGTATCCCAGCCCTTGTGCTTCCTTCTGGTGGCATGGCCGCTTAGCACGAAAGGTTGCTACAGCTGAACGACTGGGATCGGCAGTGTGTCATATCCTCTAGAGTTTATTAATCACGTGCACCCCATCCGGGAAGTCGCTAAGATTCTATAGTGTTCAGATTGACAGTAGATGCTTTCATTTAACTTTGCTACGTCAGGGTCTGCTTTCAGGAAACTTTCCGCCAAGAATAGATTGGAGTAGAAAACAACCTTTGGTGAACGGCTGTCGGGCATACATTCCATAACCAAATTAACTTGGTAAACCTTATCTGGAGCTCGAGCAAATCCGGCTCAATACCTAGCACATTTTACGGACCGTTTCGTAAAGTACATCCTGCTCTCACGGTCGTTTCGTATGCACTGTTCATCAAATCCCTTAATATTCGTTTCTGACGCCAAAGGTGAGGCAACTTGGCCAATTTTATTCGTGAACGAGTGATGCGTGCACTAGCTTCATCCATCCCAGTGCAGCCACGTCTTATGGAGCTACTAAGATAAGTCACCCGTCAGCAAACTCAACCTTATTCTGGAGTTTCAAGGGGTTTGTATGATTGGGAATCGTCGTCAGACAACAGATGAGTTTCAAGGGGTTTGTATGATTGGGAATTCTTGAAGTAAGACCTCGGAATTTGAAGATGCAGGGCGCATGTCAAAACGAAAGGTTTATGTGACGCATCGTCGTCAGACAACAGAATACTGTTAACCAGATTATCGAAGTCTACCACTCTCAATCGAGATGTTTTCAACACCCAGATTTGCGTTTTCCTGGAGCGTAAACTGGTGTCAATGGCAATTCAACAAAAATAGCAGCATTCCTTGTGGAAATCACCACTTGTGGGCTGACTTTTTTTGATACTGATTATAGACCCTAACGTAACTAAAATCGTGGGAACAAGTACAAGAATATTTGCACGCTTCTAGGGTCTTCTTAACTGACCAAGTATATGTAGACCAGCCAAACTATCCACGGAGCTGAGAGCTCCTGTGAAGTTAAGGAAAACCACAACAGTTGGTTGGCGGTATGTGGCGTCGCTCGAGCATTTGACGCGTGATAGTGTGGTTCATTCACCCCTAGCTGATCTAGATCCCTCTTGGTGCTCTCGCCTGATGAGCTTAGACGTCGCAATATAACTGAGGTCAGCAGCCATGTTACATCTAGAGTTAGGGTTATGCCCCTACAGTTGGGAAAGCCATTTCGGGTGTGTACAAATAGGATGATTTGTTGGCTTCCAGATTGTTGGAACGCATTCTGTTTCCCAAGTTAGTTTGAATAACCTAACCAAAGAAGAACAATGGTACGAGATCATTTGGCACGGTGGCGCCTCAAGGCAGGAAGGTATATTAGGACTCCATCATCCGAGGGAAGATGTAAACCCATAGACAACTGCTGTAATCTAGTGAAATCTATCAAACCGGGATGGACGCCCAACTAAACTGTTGTCCAAGATACTCAGCCATCCATCCAAAGCATAGAGTCTTGTATATTATACCTCCAAGATTGTCACTAGCAGTCCGATTTTTTCAGTCCCGTTTGGTGTATCCGGTAAAGATTCCGGATATTCCGAGCTACGCTGGTTCCCTCCATTTCCAGAGCTCTGTGATTTCACCAAGTTTTACTCTCCACCGCTGGCCTATGCTTGAGCTAACGTCTCACAGCCCCTCTGGTTGAATCATGCTCAACGCTTATACAGTATGGCTTCTCAATTCGTGCAGCGACTGTGACTTGCATGAAATTATTATTTGGTGAGCCTTCAGGAACACTGCATGCTGAGCTCCTCTGCCCTGAGGATGTGAGGTTTTAAAACTTCGTACAGGTCAGTTTGCTAAGATTGCATGTTTGACTTGTGGGTCAGAGAGGTTTTCGTTGGCTAAACGAAAAGTTTATTTTTTTGGTCCCCCATGGATGCTTACAGATAATTCACACCGGACGATATCATGCTCCGAATTGACGTGTGTGATCCAGAAAAATCGACAATCAGGAATAGTGCCTAGCCGCAGTGATGAAAGCCATTTGATCAACCTGGCTTCATGACTCTTCATCAGTAAGGAGACGTCAGGTAGCTCAACAATACCTGCTTGTCTGAATACAGTAGTTCTGAAGTACAAAGTGTTGATCAATGCAAGGTTGCCAAAGACACTCATCACCATTAACTTTTGAGTACAAGCTGAACAGGTCACCAAACTGTGCCTTTGAGGAACGAAGACGCCGTGCTTGCGTATTGAAATCATGTCTGAATTAGTGCTGTTTAAAAGTGCTTGGTTCCCGACAAAAAGTACCTTCCATCGAATGAAAGCTACGGTTGATTGGTATACGTGCAGAAACTGCAAATAAGGAACACATTTCGGCCAGTGTGGGTTCTTATGGAAGTTGATAAATGGGCAACGCGAAGCCAGTGGTCTGGGAGAACCCGGTCGAATAAACTATCCTGAGCTTGACGGCTGAGAGCAATACATGCACTTGTGTGACCGGCTGCGACAGTTTCAGGATCGCTTTTAATTCGTAGATGGTAGTATCTAGACAGAATGGGCCACAGGTTCGATTGCGTTTTATCAATCCCGTATTTTTGTCTCGGAAACAGTAAATATCTATTGATAAATTGTCAGGAGTGTGCGCGAAAGCAACCGATGTGGTCCATAGATCGCACGTTAAAAGTCACGATAAAAAGTGGATAACGAGGTATGAGAAGCGAAAGCCAGGTGGCAGGGATGAGCGGTGGCTCGCTGCTAGTCACATCTTTGGATGCAAGACGCTTGTTTGTGGCTGAGATCTACAGAAGTGCAATCGTCAGATGGGACATGAAGTGAGGTAAGACGTGCTACTAAGGAGAGGTGGGGTATCGGTAGCAACCTGTTTTCGCCTATCCACCCTGCTTTGTGCAACAAGTTAGGCCACACATAACAACGGCCGATATGGCATGAAGTTATTGGTATGGTTGTATGTGGCCTGGGAAGCTGGCAGGGCTCCCAAACCTAGACGGGAGCCCAAAACCCGGGTGCTTGGCTCAAAAGTTTCAACACAAGAAGACGGTGGTTGGCACGAAACTACCGGAGTAGTGCAAATTTCACGGAGCGTGCCGGCACGTATGTTCTAATCCCCAGCCACTCATCTGCTTTTTACACAAAAAGATTGTGACATTATCTAATTAAAAACCCGCTGTTTCCACTTACACCGTAGGAAGATGTCCGCCCCACATTCCGACTGATGAAGGTTGGGCAGAATCTAGCTGCTTTCAAAACAAGAAACGAGCATCGCTGTTATAGTCAGGATGAAGTTTAGGTTCGTCAGGCTTATGACGTGTCTTTTTATCGGACCCTAAGCAGTATCTAGTTTAATGGTAGCTTGGTAATGTGAGGAAATCTGATAACATTCAGTAGGTATTTCATTCGGTCAATAGGGGAACTCAGCTATTGACAGTCAAACTATCCATG